ATTAGTTGCAAAATGTTCTTCCCGCTCTTCCCTGTTAGTGCTATCTACTTTGCCAGCTCTTTGTTGCCCCAACTTTTTTGAGACATGTTGCTGCCATCAACTTCACAATGACCTTATTTTTTTTCTTAACCACTTGACGTCAAATCACGGACATGTACTTGATTGACTTCAAGTGGTTATACCGGGGCAAAGGGCGGACTGACCATTTGGAAACTTGGGCACTGCCCGAGGTTCAGGGGTCAGTAGGGGGCCCCATGAGATGCCCCTGGTACCTTTTTCATAGGCTTTTTTGAGTTTGGGCAAGGACACAGGGGCCCCATGATCCCCTATTTCCCGGGGGCCCCATGAGTTGTCAGTCCGCCCCTGTACCGAGGTTATGACTGCAACTGTATGCCATAACCCTGTTTTTTTTTTTTTTTTCAGCTGGCATTGCTTTTTCATCTGAAAACAATTCTGGAGGCTGATTAGCTGCTGGATTGCTTTTTCAGGCAGTGGGAGCCCCCCTCCCTCCTGCCACCAGCCTGTGCCTCTTTGGGCTCTCCCAAGCGATCTGGCGGTGCCGAGGGGGTATCATAGAGCTGATCAGTCACCAGAAGGTCCCCAACTGTCTCTATGGTCTAGGAGACTGGAAGAGACGTCATGGCGTCACTCCCTGGCTGTCTCTTTGGTCTAGGAAAGGGGTAGGCAACCTGCGGCTCTCTAGCTGTTGTGGAACTACATTTCCCATGAGACATTGCAAAATTGACAGTTACAGCTATGACTTGCAGAGGCATGATGGAACTTGTAGCCCTGCCACAGCTGGAGAGCCACAGGTTGCCTACCCTTGGTCTAGGAGATTGGAAGAGACATCATGGCGTCACTCCCTGGCTGTCTCTATGGTCTAGGACAGGGGTAGGCAACCTGCGGCTCTCTAGGTGTTGTGGAACTACATTTCCCATGAGACATTGCAAAATTGACAGTTACAGCTATGACTTGCAGAGCCATGATGGAACTTGTAGTCCTGCAACAGCTGGAGAGCCACAGGTTGTCTACCCTTGGTCTAGGAGATTTGAAGAGACATCATGGCGTCACTCCCTGGCTGTCTCTATGGTCTAGGACAGGGGTAGGCAACCTGCGGCTCTCTAGGTGTTGTGGAACTACATTTCCCATGAGACATTGCAAAATTGACAGTTACAGCTATGACTTGCAGAGGCATGATGGAACTTGTAGTCCTGCAACAGCTGGAGAGCCACAGGTTGCCTACCCTTGGTCCAGGAGATTGGAAGAGACGTCATGGCGTCACTCCCTGGCTTCTTTCTATGGTCTAGGAGACTGAAAGCGACGTCATGGCGTCCCATCTAGTTCTGGCAGATGAAACACTTTTTTTAAAGTATGGGATCATTTTTTTTTAAATCTCTTGCTTTACAGGTCTTAGGGACCCGGGATGTGTCCATAAAGAGGACCTGTCATCCCTGATTTCTATCACAAGGTATGTTTACACTTCTTGTGATAGGAATACATAAAAATTAAAGGGAGAGTGTAAAAAAAAAATGTTCCCACCGTGCTCGCACGCAGCATACGTAGGTCGTGCACACATACGTAAACGATGTTCGCACCACACATGTGAGGTATCACCACGAACGTTATAATAATTCTAGCGCCAGACCTCCTTTGTAACTCTAAAACTGGCAACCTGTAAAAGTTTTTAATGCGTCGCCAGGACGATTTCTAAGTATCGTAGTCTGTCGCCATTCCACGCGCGCAATTTTAAAGCATGACACGTTAGGTATCGATTTACTCGACATAACATCGTCTTTTATAGTTTACCAAAAAAAAATGGGTGTATTGTATTGTGTTTTGTGCCTTAAAATTCATGAAAGTGTCTTTTTTCCCCCCAAAAAGAATTGCGTTGGAAAAAAACCACTTCTCAAATACCGTGTGAAATAAAAATTTGCAACGACCACCGTTTTATTCTCTAGGGACCCTGCTAAAAAAAAGATGTTTTGGGGGTTTCACGTCATTTTCAGCAAATTTTTTTTTAAAAGATGCGTCAGAACCGGCCTGGTCTTCAAATGGTCCATTTTGTCCAGTTAAACATTTGATGTTTTTTTCTGTTTTCTATTGTGAATAAAATCCGGGTTTATGAGGTTTGGAAATCGTTGCATTCCGTTTTATGTAGATAATACACAGCACCCCAACTTTTTTGGAATTGGGGTTGCGGTTGCGCATGCACGATGTGTTGTCTCCAAATATCACCCAAACCGCCCTTTCCGCTCCTCCCACCACCTCCTGCTTTCTAGCTCCCTTTTCTCCTCCTCCCATGCTCATCTCCAGGTCTTCTCCAGAGCTTCCCCCATCCTCTGGAACTCTCTACCCCAATCTATCAGACTATCGCCTACTCTGCCCACTTTTAGGCGATCTCTGAAAACCGATCTCTTCAGGGAAGCCTATCCTGCCCTCAGCTAATAATGGAATCTTCTATTCCTCCTACCAGCCCATCCCCCACAGTTACTACCTTTTGTACCACAAGCCCCTCCCTCTTAGATTGTAAGCTCCCAGGATCAGGGCCCTCCTATCCTTCTTGTATTGATCTGTATTGTTGCTCCCGTTATATTGTAAAGCGCTGAGCAAACTGTTGGCGCCATAAATCCTGTATAATAATAATAATAATAATAAAAAACAAAAGCTGTGGGGGTGGAGAATAGGCAAAAAAAAAAAACAAACAAAAACAACAAAAAACAAAAAAAAAAAACACAAAAAAAAAAAAAAAAAAAAAAAAAAAAAAAAAAAAAAAAAAAAAAAAAAAAACAAAAAAACAAAAAAAAAAAAAAAAAAAAAAAAAAAAAAAAAAAAAAAAAAAAAAAAAAAAAAAAAAAAAAAAAAAAAAAAAAAAAAAAAAAAAAAAAAAAAAAAAAAAAAAAAAAAAAAAAAAAAAAAAAAAAAAAAAAAAAAAAAAAAACAAAAAAAAAAAAAAAAAAAAAAAAAAAAAAAAAAAAAAAAAAAAAAAAAAAAAAAAAAAAAAAAAAAAAAAAAAAAAAAAAAAAAAAAAAAAAAAAAAAAAAAAAAAAAAAAAAAAAAAAAAAAAAAAAAAAAAAACAAAAAAAAAAAAAAAAAAAAAAAAAAAAAAAAAAAAAAAAAAAAAAAAAAAAAAAAAAAAAAAAAAAAAAAAAAAAAAAAAAAAAAAAAAAAAAAAAAAAAAAAAAAAAAAAAAAACAAACAACAAAAAAAAAAAAAAAAAAAAAAAAAAAAAACAAAAAAAACAAAAACAAAAAAAAAAAATAAACAAAAAAAAAAAAAAAAAAAAAAAACAAAAACAAAAAAAAAAAAACAAAATCAAAAAAAAAAAAAAGGAAAGTTCTTTAATGTGAAGGTCGGGGGGGGACAAGAGAGTCTTTAAATGTAAATGTAATCATACCAATGTAACAACCCTAGTCTTCATCTTACCACCAATGTAAGGGACATTCTTCCCACTGACCCCCAATGTAAGGGACATTCTTCCCACTGACCCCCAATGTAAGGGACATTCTTCCCACTGACCTCCAATGTAAGGGACATTCTTCCCACTGATCACCAATGTAAGGGACATTCTTCCCACTGACCCCCAATGTAAGGGACATTCTTCCCACTGACCCCAATGTAAGGGACATTCTTCCCACTGACCCCAATGTAAGGGACATTCTTCCCACTGACCCCCAATGTAAGGGACATTCTTCCCACTGACCCCCAATGTAAGGGACATTCTTCCCACTGACCCCCAATGTAAGGGACATTCTTCCCACTGACCCCCAATGTAAGGGACATTCTTCCCACTGACCCCAATGTAAGGGACATTCTTCCCACTGACCCCAAATGTAAGGGACATTCTTCCCCACTGATCACCAATGTAAGGGACATTCTTCCCACTGACCCCAATGTAAGGGACATTCTTCCCACTGACCCAATGTAAGGGACATTCTTCCCACTGACCACCAATGTAAGGGACATTCTTCCCACTGACCACCAATGTAAGGGACATTCTTCCCACTGATCCCCAATGTAAGGGACATTCTTCCCCACTGACCCCCAATGTAAGGGACATTCTTCCCACTGATCCCCCAATGTAAGGGACATTCTTCCCACTGACCCCAATGTAAGGGACATTCTTCCCACTGACCAATCCCAATGTAAGGGACATTCTTCCCCCTGACCACCAATGTAAGGGGACATTCTTCCCACTGATCACCAATGTAAGGGACATTCTTCCCACTGACCCCACTGACCCACCAATGTAAGGGACATTCTTCCCACTGACCTCCCAATGTAAGGGACATTCTCCCACTGATCACCAATGTAAGGAGCATTCTTCCCACTGACCACCAATGTAAGGGACATTCTTCCCACTGACCCCCAATGTAAGGGACATTCTTCCCACTGATCACCAATGTAAGGGACATTCTTCCTACACATGACCACCAATGTAAGGGACGTTCTTCCCTCTGACCACCAATGTAAGGGACATTCTTCCCACTGATCACCAATGTAAGGGACATTCTTCCCCCCCACTGACCCCCAATGTAAGGGACATTCTTCCCACTGACCACCAATGTAAGGGACATTCTTCCCACTGACCCCCAATGTAAGGGACATTCTTCCCTCTGACCACCAATGTAAGGGACATTCTTCCCACTGACCACCAATGTAAGGGACATTCTTCCCACTGACCCCCCAATGTAAGGGACATTCTTCCCACTGACCCCAATGTAAGGGACATTCTTCCCCACTGATCACCAATGTAAGGGACATTCTTCCCACACTGACCCCCAATGTAAGGGACATTCTTCCCACTGACCCCAATGTAAGGGACATTCTTCCCACTGACCCCAATGTAAGGGACATTCTTCCCACTGACCCCCAATGTAAGGGACATTCTTCCCACTGACCCCCAATGTAAGGGACATTCTTCCCCCACTGATCACCAATGTAAGGGACATTCTTCCCACTGACCCCCAATGTAAGGGACATTCTTCCCACTGACCACCAATGTAAGGGACATTCTTCCCACTGACCCCCAATGTAAGGGACATTCTTCCCACTGACCCCCAATGTAAGGGACATTCTTCCCACTGATCACCAATGTAAGGGACATTCTTCCCACTGACCACCAATGTAAGGGACATTCTTCCCACTGACCCCCAATGTAAGGGACATTCTTCCCACTGACCCCCAATGTAAGGGACATTCTTCCCACTGATCACCAATGTAAGGGACATTCTTCCCACTGACCTCCAATGTAAGGGACATTCTTCCCACTGACCCCCAATGTAAGGGACATTCTTCCCACTGACCCCCAATGTAAGGGACATTCTTCCCACTGACCCCCAATGTAAGGGACATTCTTCCCACTGACCCCAATGTAAGGGACATTCCTTCCCACTGACCTCCAATGTAAGGGACATTCTTCCCACTGACCCCAATGTAAGGGACATTCTTCCCACTGACCTCCAATGTAAGGGACATTCTTCCCACTGACCTCCAATGTAAGGGACATTCTTCCCACTGATCCCCAATGTAAGGGACATTCTTCCCACTGACCCCCAATGTAAGGGACATTCTTCCCACTGATCACCAATGTAAGGGACATTCTTCCCACTGACCCCCAATGTAAGGGACATTCTTCCCACTGACCCCAATGTAAGGGACATTCTTCCCACTGACCCCCAATGTAAGGGACATTCTTCCCACTGACCCCCAATGTAAGGGACATCTTCCCACTGACCCCCAATGTAAGGGACATTCTTCCCACTGACCCCAATGTAAGGGACATTCTTTCCCACTGACCCCCAATGTAAGGGACATTCTTCCCACTGACCCCCAATGTAAGGGACATTCTTCCCACTGACCTTCCCAATGTAAGGGGACATTCTTCCCACTGACCCCCAATGTAAGGGACATTCTTCCCACTGACCCCCAATGTAAGGGACATTCTTCCCACTGACCCCCAATGTAAGGGACATTTCTTCCCACTGACCCCCAATGTAAGGGACATTCTTCCCACTGACCCCCAATGTAAGGGACATTCTTCCCACTGACCCCCAATGTAAGGGACATTCTTCCCACCTGACCCCCAATGTAAGGGACATTCTTCCCACTGACCCCCAATGTAAGGGACATTTTCCCACTGACCCCCAATGTAAGGGACATTCTTCCCACTGACCCCAATGTAAGGGACATTCTTCCCACTGACCCCCAATGTAAGGGACATTCTTCCCACTGACCCCAATGTAAGGGACATTCTTCCCACTGACCCCCAATGTAAGGGACATTCTTCCCACTGACCCCCCCCAATGTAAGGGACATTCTTCCCACTGACCCCCAATGTAAGGGACATTCTCCCACTGACCCCCAATGTAAGGGACATTCTTCCCACTGACCCCCAATGTAAGGGACATTCTTCCCACTGACCCCCAATGTAAGGGACATTCTTCCCACTGACCCCCAATGTAAGGGACATTCTTCCCACTGACCACCAATGTAAGGGACATTCTTCCCACTGACCCCCAATGTAAGGGACATTCTTCCCACTGACCCCCAATGTAAGGGACATTCTTCCCACTGACCCCCAATGTAAGGGACATTCTTCCCACTGACCCCAATGTAAGGGACATTCTTCCCACTGACCCCCAATGTAAGGGACATTCTTCCCACTGACCCCCAATGTAAGGGACATTCTTCCCACTGAAGGGACCCCCACTGACCCCCAATGTAAGGGACATTCTTCCCACTGACCCCAATGTAAGGGACATTCTTCCCACTGACCCCCAATGTAAGGGACATTCTTCCCACTGACCCCCAATGTAAGGGACATTCTTCCCACTGACCCCCAATGTAAGGGACATTCTTCCCACTGACCTGACCCCCAATGTAAGGGACATTCTTCCCACTGACCCCCAATGTAAGGGACATTCTTCCCACTGACCCCCAATGTAAGGGACATTCTTCCCACTGACCCCCAATGTAAGGGACATTCTTCCCACTGACCCCCAATGTAAGGGACATTCCTTCCCACTGACCCCCAATGTAAGGGACATTCTTCCCACTGACCACCAATGTAAGGGACATTCTTCCCACTGACCCCCAATGTAAGGGACATTCTTCCCACTGACCCCCAATGTAAGGGACATTCTTCCCACTGACCCCCAATGTAAGGGACATTCTTCCCACTGACCCCCAATGTAAGGGACATTCTTCCCACTCCCACTGACATTCCCCACTGACCTCAAATGTAAGGGACATTCTTCCCACTGACCCCAATGTAAGGGACATTCTTCCCACTGACCCCCAATGTAAGGGACATTCTTCCCACTGACCCCCAATGTAAGGACCCCCATTAAGGGACTTCCCCACTGACCCCCCCCAATGTAAGGGACATTCTTCCCACTGGACAATGTAAGGGACTTCCCCACTGACCCCCAATGTAAGGGACATTCTTCCCACTGACCCCAATGTAAGGGACATTCTTCCCACTGACCCCCAATGTAAGGGTCATTCTTCCCACTGACCCCCAATGTAAGGGACATTCTTCCCACTGACCCCCAATGTAAGGGACATTCTTCCCACTGACCCCCAAATGTAAGGACATTCTTCCCACTGACCCCAATGTACAGGTGCAGAGTTCAGGAAGGGCTTGTTCCCACAGAGTGCAGAGTTCAGGACATTGCTTGTACTGAGTGCAGATTTCAGGGACAGGTGCTGTGTACACTGAGTGCAATGTAAGGGACATTCTTCCCACTGACCCCCAGTGTAAGAGTTTCAGAGGGTGCTGTGTACCACTGAGCAAGAGTTCAGGAGGGTGCTGTCTTACTGAGTGACAGTTCAGGCTGGTGCTTCCTGACATGTACAGAGTGCAGAGTTCAGGAGGGTGCTGTTTACTGAGTGACAGTTCAGGATGTGCTATGTGTACAGAGCAGAGTGCAGAGTTCAGGAGGGTGCTACATACAGAGTTCAGAGTTCAGGAGGGTGCTGTGTACAGAGTGCAGAGTTCAGGAGGTGTGCTGTGTACAGAGTGCAGAGTTCAGGAGGGTGCTGTGTACAGAGTGCAGAGTTCAGGTTCAGGAGTGCTATGTACAGAGTGCAGAGTTCAGGAGTGTGCTGTGTACAGAGTGCAGAGTTCAGGAGTGTGCTATGTACTGAGTGACAGTTCAGGAGTGTGCTGTGTACAGAGTGCAGAGTTCAGGAGGGCTGCTGTGTACTGAGTGACAGAGTTCAGGAGGTGCTGTGTACAGAGTGCAGAGTTCAGGAGGGTGTGCTATGTACTGAGTGCAGAGTTCAGGAGGGTGCTGTGTACAGAGTGCAGAGTTCAGGAGTGCAGCAGAGTGCAGAGTTCAGAGGGTGTGTACAGAGTGCAGAGTTCAGGAGGGTGCTGTGTACAGAGTGCAGAGTTCAGGAGGGTGCATGTACAGAGTGCAGAGTTCAGGAGGGTGCTACATACAGAGTGCAGAGTTCAGGAGGGTGCTATGTACAGAGTGCAGAGTTCAGGAGGGTGCTGTGTACAGAGTGCAGAGTTCAGGAGGGTGCTATGTACAGAGTGCAGAGTTCAGGAGGGTGCTACATACAGAGTGCAGAGTTCAGGAGGGTGCTGTGTACAGAGTGCAGAGTTCAGGAGGGTGCTGTGTACAGAGTGCAGAGTTCAGGAGGGTGCTACATACAGAGTGCAGAGTTCAGAGTTCAGGAGTGCAGGGTGCTACATACAGAGTGCAGAGTTCAGGAGGTGTGCTGTGTACAGAGTGCAGAGTTCAGGAGGGTGCTGTGTACAGAGTTCAGGAGAGTTCAGGAGGGAGGGTGCTACATACAGAGTGCAGAGTTCAGGAGGGTGCTGTGTACAGAGTGCAGAGTTCAGGAGGGTGCTATGTACTGAGTGCAGAGTTCAGAGGGTGCTCAGAGTGCAGAGTTCAGGAGGGTGCTATGTACAGAGTGCAGAGTTCAGGAGGGTGCTACATACAGAGTGCAGAGTTCAGGAGGGTGCTGTGTACAGAGTGCAGAGTTCAGGAGGGTGCTATGTACTGAGTGCAGAGTTCAGGAGGGTGCTACATACAGAGTGCAGAGTTCAGGAGTGTGCTGTGTACTGAGTGACAGTTCAGGATGGTGCTATGTACCTCAGAGCCCAAACTATTTTTACTTCTGTTTTGAAAAGGATTCGGAATTTTCAGTTTGCTTTTACCTCTTTCCTGCCTGAAGATCTACGTCATGACGTCTTTATCAACGGGCCCGTCGCTGCGGCATGACGTCTTTATGAACCAGACAGAGCTGGAATATGGCCGCACCGCGATACAAGGCCGACACTCAGGAACCATCAGGAACTGACTAGCGGGAACTACAGCCACCTTTTTCTTCAGGAGGACGGCGCTCGGCGCTCAACTATCGCCATCCACCCGTCGGCATGCGCAATTTGCATTGTTTAGATGTTCTAATTTTTTTTTTTTTGGCGCTCAGCAATTTTCTCCTTCGGCTGCTATAATAATAATTTATGTTTAAAAAAAAAATATGTTCCAGTTAAAAGGTTTATCTTTAATCCCATCGGGTCCCCGATTGTTGTCAGACTTTAAAGCGAGCTGTTTTGATGTAGTTTTAAACAATTTGTTCTGTAATCATCTGCCTGATGGTTCCAGTGATCGTCATTTTCATATGAAAGGCTCGTTTCCGTGCCCCGGAGCCGCCAGGATTTTATTTGAAGCAATGCTATTTTCAGTCCTTTAAAAAAAAAGAAAAAATACAAAAAAAATAAAAAGGAGAATAATTTATCAGAAATAACAGGGTAGGCGCCCCGAGCACGCCGAGATTTTATTTATTGCCTTTTCTCGTGTTAACTCGATCTGTTCCTGGCATCCTACAGAACGAGGGATCCTACCGGAAGGGTGGCGCTTTGTACTCCATCCCCATCACCGATTGGTTGGATGGCCCACGCAGAACTTCTGTTGGGGAAACGATGTCCCTTGTAGGGCCCATTGACATGTGCGCATTGCACGCGGCAGCTCAGCGCAGGGCTATTCATGTGCCATTCAGTGGCCGAGCAACGCGCCTACATGGCACTGCACCACAGAGCCCTGCACTGCACCTCCATGTGTACTGATGGGTCACATCATAACACATAGTGAAGGTGGGATTGTGGCTGAATGAATGGACTGCTTTAATGAATGGATTTTGAATGAATGGACTTCCCTAATGAATGGATTTTGAATGAATGGACTGCCCTAATGAATGGATTTTGAATGAATGGACTGCCCTAATGAATGGATTTTGAATGAATGGACTGCCCTAATGAATGGATTTTGAATGAATGGACTGCCCTAATGAATGATTTTGAATGAATGGACTGCCCTAATGAATTGATTTTGAATGAATGGACTGCCCTAATGAATGGATTTTGAATGAACAGACTGTCCTAATGAATTGATTTTGAATGAATGAACTGCCCTAATAAATGGGTTTTAAATGAATGGATTTCAAATGAATGGACTGCCTTAAATTAACTGATTTTAAATTAACGGATGTTGAATGAATGGACTGACCCAATGAATGGATTTTAAATGAATGCACTGCCCCAATGAATGGATTTTAAATGAATGGAATGCCTTAATGAAAGAATTTTGAATGAATGGACTTCCCTAATGAATGGATTTTGAATGAACGGACTGCGTTAAATTAATTGATTTTGAATGAATGGATTTTGAATTAATGGACTGCCCTAATAAATGGATTTTAAATGAACAGACTGCCCTAATGAATTGATTTTGAATGAATGGCCTGCCCTAGTTGATGCATTTTAAATGAATTGACTGCCCTAATGAATAGATTTTAAAGAATGGACTGCCTTAAATTTATTGATTTTAAATGAATGGATTTTGAATGAATGGACTGCCCCAATGAATGGATTTTGAATGAATGGACTGCCCCAATGAATGGATTTTGAATGAACGGACTGCCCCAATGAATGGACTACCCCAATGAATGGATTTTGAATGAATGGACTGCCCCAATGAATGGATTTTGAATGAATGGACTGCCTTAAATTAATTGATTTGAAATGAATGGATTTTGAATGAACGGACTTCGCTAATGAATGGATTTTAAGTGAACAGTGCAGAGGCAGCCAGGCACAGGGTAGCTCTTTGCTCATTCTGGCTCCATGGTCAGTCTGGGTATTTTTATTGGTGAAGGACTCGGGATGGGGGGGGTGATTTGGAGGGAGGGGCTCCAGCTTCACCAAACACCCCAGGGAAAGGAGATCCTGTTGAGATTTCCTGTTTCCTGTCTTGATGTGTGGCGGGGTGGGGGGGGGGGGGTGATATGGGAGGGGCTCCAGCTTCACTGATGTGAGGTGGGGTGGGGGGGTGATATGGGAGGGGCTCCAGCTTCACTGATGTGCGGTGGGGGGGTGATATGGAAAGGGCTCCAGCTTCACTGATGTACGACGGGGTGGGGGGGTGATATGGGAGGGGCTCCAGCTTCACTGATGTGCGGCGGGGTGATATGGGAGGGGCTCCAGCTTCACTGATGTGCGGCGGGGTGGGATTGGCGATATCGGAGGGGCTCCAGCTTCACTGATGTGCGGTGGGGGGGTGATATGGGAGGGGCTCCAGCTTCACTAATGTGCGGTGGAGTGGGAGGTGATATGGGAGGGGTTGCAGCTTCACTGCTGTGCGGTGGGGGGTGATATGGGAGGAGCTCCAGCTTCATTGATGTGCGGTGGGGGGGTGATATGGGAGAGGTTCCAGCTTCACTGATGTGCGGCGGGGTGGGGGGTGATATGGGAGGGGTTCCAGCTTCACTGATGTGTGGCGGTGTGGGGGGGTGATATGGGAGGGGCTCCAGCTTCACTAATGTGCGGTGGGGTGGGGTGGGGGGGTGATATGGGAGGAGTTCCAGCTTCACTGATGTGCGGTGGGGTGGGGGGGTGATATGGGAGGGGCTCCAGCTTCACTGATGTGCGGCGGGGTGGGGGGTGATATGGGAGGGGCTCCAGCTTCACTGATGGGTGGCGGGGTGGGGGGGGTAATATGGGAGGGGCTCCAGCTTCACTGATGTGCGGTGGTGTGGGGGGGGTGATATGGGAGGGGTTCCAGCTTCAATGATGTGTGGCGGGGTGGGGGGGGGGTGATATGGGAGGGGCTCTAGCTTCACTGATGTGCTTTGTCCATGTTTCATGTCTGAGGGTTACACCCACCTGACCTGTTCCCGCCTATTGTC